GCATCAAATGATTACATGACTGCACTTTTTGATATATGTGCGCTAATACCTCTCTCAGAAAGGTTAAAATATCAGTTGCCTATATAATTTTCTAACAGTATAAAATGCTTGACATTTATATGCCAATGATACCCTTATTAAGAAGATATGCCACTATATGCCCTAAGAAATCCTTGATTCTCACTATATTTCTATATTATTACAGTACTTATTACATATACTTGTGAAGCCAATAAAGAAACAAAGTGATAGATAAAGAGGTGAGACCCTTTTTAACCTCTGTTAAAATACCCTGCATGGTGCTGTACGCTCACCAACCAGTATCGTTCAGCGTCTATGACGTCATAACGTCATTGCTCCAACCTGAATACGTCACAACCTGCCAGGGGGAAAAAACGCTTTCAATTTGTAACTTGTTATTGACTATGTGGGGGGGTTGGGGGGCGGTTAGTCGTTCAATGAGCCACAGACAGAATAGATGAAACCACAATGAGGACAATTACTGTCAGGCCCTCAGCATCCACTAAAACGTTGAAGCTTGCTACTATTTACTATTATTGCTACAGTTGTCGTTCACATTTTATATGTTTTACTTCACACTGTTCGCACGAACTGATGAAATAAACAAATAAGCACATTCCAGTCATCAGTATTATTAACGGGAAGGCTCAGCACCACCTTAGTCACTAATGTTTCTGTGCCCAAGTGTGAGTGACATAACCCAAGCAATGTATTAAACACTGGGCTTGACAGCCTAAAAAATATACTTAGTCACACTCTTCACAGCACTGGCTGATGGTAATAATGTGATAAAGAAGTAAGTTGTTTTTTTTTCTGTTTTTTTTTTTTTAAGAGGTTAATTTTGGCTGACTGGAGTTTAAAAAAAAATCTAATATTTCAGTTGTATGCCCTCCTGCTTTTCCCAGCACTGGCTGTCAATCCACAAGTCTTGTTATCCTCACATTGCATCGTTTTATTTGCCTGATCTCAGCAAGGTTTTCTTGTACAAGCAGAACTATAATTGCTATAATTCAACTGTATCATTTGGATCATTGTAGTATTGTTGTTTTTTTCTCTCTCCCCTAACACTGAAATAACTCGCTCCAGTGTTAAATTAGCAGGTTGCGGGTAGACCACAAATGAATGAAAGTTAGTTAAAAATAAATAAATAAGGCGAGGGAATAACTTGGCAGAAGCATTATGACATTGCATGTAATCAGGCTGCATTGTCTAGGATGGCACAGTGCTGTACAATCGTTCTTTAGAACGCAATACATATTCTATTGTTTAAGTACATGTTGCAAGAGAAGATGATCTTAATTATGGAGCCCAGCACATCGCAGCTAGATGAAACCTTTTTTTTTTTTTTTTTCATTTTTTTTTTTTTCATAGTAGCACATTAGATATTATTGTAACAAAACTGTTTAAGCTTCCCTTGCATATATTTTGCAATTTGTGAGCTAGGGGTCAAGAAAAGTATTGTTTGGAGGCTTGTGTGGGTAGATTAAAGAATATTTAATTAACCCTTATAAGGAGTATATGAAGTAAAATAAAATGAGAAAGGATGGTTCTCAAAGGAGGTGTGTGGATGTGTCTGTGACTATATGTATGGGTGTCTTAATAGCGATAGCTTAATAGCTGGTTATTAAAGTGACAATGTTAAAGGTGACACCGGTAAGCGTTATGCGCAAATTAAATACTGAAAGCGCCGTAGGGACCGAATGTATCGAGGCAAAACGGAAGCTATGCGTCAATTGCGGAGAAAAAGGCGGAAACGTTGGTTGTTACCATGGCTATTGCTCAGAAAGTAGCGTTTGTAAAGCTTGTCAGCATAAAATATCGACATCTAACCCTAAATGTAAATAAGCACACGTGAATTTAAAAATATGCTTTTTATTAATTATCTGTGTGTGTGTGTGTGTGTGTGTGTGTGTGTGTGTGTAGTGTATAGTTTGTCTATATTTGTGTGTTTGTGTGTGTGTTTACTGTAATGTAGTTATAAATATATGTAAAGTGTGTTTTTATGTTTTTGTCTGTTTGTATTTATATATATATATATATATATATATATGTAGCGTGTGTATACTTTGTCTACATTGTGTGTGTTTATGTATGGTAGTGTGTTTAGAGTATATATTTATGTATACAAGTATGTGTGTATAAATATATGTATAGTGTGTATTTATGTGTGTGTGTTCCATATATGTATTATAAATCCAGTCTCATATTGCCAATAGAAAACGAGAATTATTCCTGTAAGTGTGTGTTGTACAGAATATTGGACAATATTGTAGAAATGTAAGATTGAAAAATATAAATTATGCATAAAGTTCCCCATTCTTCACCTAAATTGCACTTAATAGGTATCTCTGCCGATAGAAATTATTTCTTTAAATTAACCGTATTGCTGAAGCAAATTGCCCAAGCCATATCAATATTATAAGGAAAAGGGACAGATCCCCCATCGGTTAGTGATTGCTGTGCCTCTCAGAGAGCAATAACTGAACTGGGATAAATAGAGGAAGACTAAATTGTAGCCTGGTGAAGTTTGGGAGAATGGATTGTGACAATGATCATTTGGGGACTGATGGCTGCAGATTGGGAATGAGGTCATGGCTTGCACACTGGGTTAAATAGACTTTCCTGTAAAATTACATTCTCAGTCCTGACAGACACATCTTAGAGATTATTACAAAGGGAATACAGGCACAGAAAACAAACAAAGCTTTCTGATCCTCTCACAGGAGATGTAAGAGAAATACTTTCTAAATCCTGCTCACACAGCCTTCTCGCAGGCACACTCAACTTTATATTATATTGTTTTTCTTTAACCCATTAAGTACCAGAGACCTACACAGATTGTAACAATGCGAAAAGAATAAATGGTATTTCTTTATTGAATACATTTCCCGTGACGTTAAGACAACATTTAAACAAATATAGTTCAAAACCCTTCGCAGTGTCAAGACTGGTTATCACTTTTGTAGAATAGTACAAATTGAAATAAAATTACAGTTAAAAAAAAGGATAATTTAATTGTATAATACATATGAAATATAGGTTATCATGACATGTGTGTAGATAGTCCATAACTTTAATGTCACGGATTTATCATACAATAATAATATAGACAGAGATAAAAAAAAAAAAAAGTGATATGTCAAATATTAAAACATTAAAATCCACAGCTAAGGAAAATGAACGATGTCGTTTTTTATGATTTCAATAATAAATTCACAATGTTGCTGCGCTTTCTTGCAGATATAAGTACCAAACAACGACTTTAATCAGGGTAAATATCCCTGTCTTAGAGAAAGTCTAACTGGCCTTGGTTGAAGTGTTTAGTTTTTTTTCTAAATGGACAATATTGGTCTAGATCGTACATGACGGCTGTGAGTTTAGCCCAGCTCTCTGATTAGTTAACAAGTCCCTTTAAAAGGCAGTATTAATGGGCAGAGAGTACAGGTAAGTGTGATCAGGTAAGTCAGTCTCACTGTACCACTGCCTGTCATCCAGTTGTGGATTACAGCCATCACAGGCCCCAATTACCATTCTCTATATATTAAAATACTGACTGTAAAGCGATTCAAGGGTGCTTTTGTAAAAATCATTTTTTTCTATATATATATATAATTATTTATTAGATGGGTAAAAATGATGGAAAGGGCGTGCGGGGTTGGGTGGAGGGAGAGGGGTCTGACAAGGTGTTAAACCTGCCATGGATTAGTAAGTTTCTGGGTTCTCTATTTCCTCTCCAGAAACAATCATCAAGAGGAATCAGTCAGATTCATAGTACGGGGTATCCAGTATCTTTTTTCAGAATTACAATATTACTAAAACTAGAATTTGGTTATCTTTATTTCCAGATTGTATCACTTCATGCCCCGAACCATATCTTATATATAAAGGATAATTCACACTTTTTTCAACCTTCCTTTTAATCAAGTTAGAATTTGATTACTTAAAAAAAGATATCACCCGTTTGGAATGGGTTCTATTCCAAGATATACATTTACCCCAGGAAATTGAAAAAAATGCAAGTTACTCTTCCCTTTTATATTATAATCTAACCCTATAAAGGGTCTATTCATTAAATGGAGAATTGAGGTGAGTTAAAAAAAAAAAAGAATTACAAATTTTAGGCCAAAATATGTGAAATAAAAATTATCTCCAAATCCGATATATTCACAATTTAGCTATTTTTCGGTCTAAATTATGGACATTCCGTTTCACCCCAAATTAATTTATAGTGAATAAGCCCTCTAGTAATAAAGCGTTTAAATTACAAAATTACCTATATGAGTGCCAGGGTTAATAAACCTTCTTAAAATATTCCAATTAATTTCGGAGTGGTGGTTCTCAGCTATATGATGTACTAGCTTAGCGGTATTTAATTATTATATCCATAAAGTCATTTTTTATTTTTTTGTAAGAAATCTAATAAATTTCCCAGGCTTATGTCAAAACACTAAAACACATCTTGTTCATATCATTGTCTCTGCTCACTCTGCTGTTCACTAATACGCTTGTCTCATCATTGTATCTGGTTTTTTTTTTTTTTTAAATGGGAGCATCTATATGGTTTAAGACAAAACGGGTGGAAAAATGAAAATAAACTGCACTTTCGCAAAGATGCATCTTGATGATTGATATTACTAATTTCTTGTTTTTTTATTTGTCATTTTTATAAATCTATAAATGCTACAAACTAGATATATTGTATGTATTTAAAAGTGTTAACTATAAATATATATGAATGTGTGTATGTGTGTGTGTGTATACACACACACACACACACACACACACATATTGGTACTGGTGTTAGTGTTAGACGTTCATAGAGTCACTTTCTAATGTAGTAGCCATATCTCAAAGTGAAATGTCAAATTATCCAATATAAAGCGAGCTGTACACAGAGCCATAATATGTTACTGACTATTCCATGCTAATGAGGGAATCCAGTCCACGATTTGCTGGCAGTCATTGGCTAATCTGTGTGTGAAGAGTGGCAGAATCCATGGGAGCCAATCCAGTGCCTCTCTGTAACACGTGGAGGAGAGGGGCTCAGGAGTAAAGCTCTGCACACTAGTTACTGGTGCCCTGATTAAGAAGAGGGACGAGTGGCACTGATGTGGTGGGATCTTGCAAACCCTAAAGGCTCACACACTATCACTCTGAGCAGCAGCAGCAGCAACAGCCCCACACCCAGCCAGCCTTGCAGCTCACTTCCTAATCTACTGTCAGATACTGGGAGAAGGAGCAACAGGCAGACAGGGAATCATGAGCAATCAGTACCAAGAGGAGACTTCAGAGAGGCCGGAATGTAAAAGTAAATCTCCGACCCTGCTCTCCTCCTACTGCATAGACAGCATTCTGGGCAGGAGGAGTCCTTGCAAAATGAGGTTACTGGCCACTCAGACTCTGCCATCTCTGGCTAACAGGACTGATCAGGACAAAACTTTGGAAGGTAAGGAGGATTCTATAAAAGAATTGGAAGCTATACAATGTAACCGATTTACAGAGGCCTGAAACTGCTTCCTACTACTAACACACTCTGTCCCACTGCTATACTCTAATATCAATTACAGATTATTATTATTATTATTATTATTATTATTATTATTATTTTCATTGGATTTGGTTTTCGACTTTTTATAATTTGTATTTTTGAAAAAAGGGTTTTTACTGATTTTGGATTTTTATTACAAATTTATTTCAGTGAAATACTAAATAGAAATAGTTTCTACTGGTATTCAATTAACCGTAAAGTGGACACCTTTTTATTTTTATTTTTTTCTAATTTATCGTTAAATACAATTGTTACAATTCACATGTAACCATTGATGGGGCAGTTGGTTGGAAAACACCGTTTAGAAGAAAATTGTATTGCATTATTCTTCTAAATTCAATGTTATTTTTGGATTACCTGCATAATCTAAATCGTATAATGGCTAATTATATATCCAGTAATCCAGTGCCTGTACAGGAGCCGCAGATAATATTATAGACATGGGTGACATGTAAAGTGTATGTGTGTGCATTTATACTACACACAGACACACACATATATTTATATGCATACATATACACACACAAAAAACGTATTAACTGAGAAATTATATGTAGAATTATATGTATGAATTTATATATATATTTAAGTGTATGTGTAAAAAAAAAATATATATATATATATATATATATTATATTACATTGCATTCCCAAGGCTAGGCTGCTTCTCGATTAGGGTTGTACGGTATTCCTATAAAAAAAATCCATTTGGTATTTCAATAATGTGCTCATGTGGATGTAACAATATCCCTTCAGATGTGGGTTTTATAAACATATGGTAGGTTGAAGGTGAAATCTACTTGTACAAGTGTTGAAATTCCTTGTTGACAGTAATTAGACCGCTTCCAAAGACATCCAATTACCAGGATATTCCCATCAAACCTGTTATCTTAAATATATCATTGAATGAAACCAAAGAAAATGAGAAAAAATGCATATAGATGAGTATGTGATGTGTGTGTGTGTGTGTGTGTATATATATACATATATATATATATATATATATATATATATATATACACACACACCTTTTATCGTGTTACAATACAATATAATGTTGCAAGAAATCAAATCAAATCATTTAAAACAGCATTCTGGGAAAACGAACATAAATGATAACTATTTACTTAGTAAACAATACTAGAAAATAAAAATTTAATTTATCAGCAATATTATATAGTTTTTGACTTAGTATTGATATTTAATTAGCCATCATTACGCTCTGAATTGCGTTATATATTTTAAACCCATTCACACGCGCCGGCTCCTAGAAAATAAACTATTATAATTTTAAGTCTTTTTATGGACCAGTCTCCTATAAGTAGTGGCCCCATATAGGAATAGTAGAAAAAGTGTCGTGTGTTTTCTGAATAACTATGTAATTATTGTCTTATTTCTATTTTGTACCCTTTCTTTTTCCAAATACAGGGTCTCCTAAAAGTAATGTCACATTTGAGGCTGAGCTGCACCTGCCTCCCAAGTTGAGGAGATTGTATGGTCCTGTGGGTGCTGGTGGTCGTTTGCATCTCCAGTCCCTCACTGACTCCAGGTCTGGGGTACCTAGGTCGGATAAGGCTGACCGCCTTCTGATTTTAGGGGGTGCTGGAGAAAGTAGCTGGGATAACCACAGTCTCAAAATCAGCCAAGCCCCCCAGGTCAGCATCAGTCGAAGTAAGTCCTATAGGGAGAACAGCGCCCCCCTGCTGAGAGAAGATGGGAGTCCAGAAGGTCTCCAGCAACAGCAGCTCCAGACTGGTTCCTCAGCCTCTTGCACCTCTCTCCAAGAAAGACTAGGGGCACTTTCCCAAAGTCCTGGGGGCGACGAAGAGGATGAAGATGATGAGGATGAGGACGAAGAAGAAGAGGAAGAAGAAGATGAAATGGAAAAGCAACACAACAGCACCAGCACCTCAAACAGAGGACTTCTGAAAGACCACCAGCATCCACCATTTCAGCACCAACAGCAGCAACAGCCACCAACCTGCGGGACTGATGGGGACCTATCTCCCAAAGAGGAGCTTCTACTCCACACCTCTGATGGTGATGGCAAAGATGGAGAAGACAGTGTGTGTCTGTCTGCTGGCAGCGACTCAGAGGAGGGCATGTTAAAGAGGAAACAGAGGAGATACAGGACCACCTTCACCAGTTACCAGCTGGAGGAGCTGGAGAGGGCCTTCCAGAAGACCCACTACCCTGATGTCTTCACCAGGTATCTTACAGGTTCTTCATGGGGGGTTGAGGGGAGTCCAGGATGGTGACCATCTCCTGCACATCTAGGGTTATCAACTAGGCCTTTCACTATTAATGTCAGAAAACATACTATACAGTATATATTGGTTGCAAATACCAATGTCAATCTTTAATCTCTACAGCAAATTTAATTAAATTATCATTTATTCCATGCACTTTTTCAAGACGATCAATATTTAATGTTTTTTTTTGCATTCTTATGTCAGCTCCTCATCGCAAAGTGTGTTTAATTGACTGTGTATATCACTATACCTGCAGATCAGTCAGAGCACTTTGTCCCATAGAAATACCTGCCATGTAGTCTCTCTTTATGGAACGCCCTGACTGTCAAAACTATATCTGGCAATGTCACTTACCGTCTGTGTAAGCCCTTCCCAGCAGGGGAATCCTTAGATCTCTGGGATTTAGGGTTTATTTTCACTGTCACTTGACTTGAAATGTATACTTTTAGGATGGGATAAATAGAGATAGATAGATATCACAATTTATAACTAACATGAAATCCCATAAGAAAACATTTAATTTTGTCTTATTTTGTTTATGATCAATTGCATATAATTTGAGTATATAAGCAGTTGCAATCTATAATACGAATAATTTTCCATGTATGCATTTAATTCATTTATATATACATTACGATATTTAAACAAACTGCATTAAACTGTGTATACATATATTTGGATTTATAACTACAAGTATTGATTACAATTGTCTACAGTTTAGATTTCTCAATTTAAACACCTTTATAACCGGTTTGAATTAAAATATGAGATAATGTAATGTTCTGTTTATAGATGGAAATATTGTTTAATAGATGTAAAGTTTAATAAATGTAGCACATTAAGGCACAAATGTCTGCGTGAAAACGGTATTATGGTATCACTCTGGAAAATCGAATATTTTCAATAAAATTTGGACCAAACTGATTATAAAAAAAAAAGATGCATTTAATGTAATGCATTCGTCTTAAACAATCTAATAGCATAATAAAGAGCAAGAAACACAATTAAAAAATTAAGTTGAAAACTGTTCTGATCATTAAAAAAAAACCATTACATTTTATTATTTGCTTAATCAACACTAATCACTACCATTAATTATATTTTTGACATGTTTTAATTAAATAGGAGCTAATAGCATTTCAGATCAAACTCGAACAAGTCAGATAAAATATGTAGTTAGAAAAATAAATATATACAACCACAATATGCGAGTTATATATTATTAAATTATATAGGTTAGAATTTATAACTATATAAATATATATGCCTTTCTCTTTATTATTTCCTCTTTACCTGTCGTTATTTTTATGCATAGCTGTTTGTGGCTGCAAAATATAGATACAAAACGGTTTACAGTAAAATATAAATAAACGGTTTACTAACTTGATATCGATATTTAACTTTAAAAATAAATGAAAATTCGTGCCAATTAATTCTTGTGTGTGTCTTCATGTAATGATGATGGGTGTCTAAAGATAGGACATTTTGGATACTTTGTTAGAAAAGGGGAATTTTCACGGTTTCATTCATTTTAATGCAGGACGACATGACAGCTAAGAGTGTATACTATGTAAATATTCGTTAACTCTATGAATTCTAGTAATAGTGTAATCTCACAGTCCATGGTGTGTCTTTTTTTTCCTTTTCCCTAAAGAGAAGAGCTTGCAATGCGCTTGGACCTGACTGAAGCCAGGGTTCAGGTGAGTGCTGAGATTTGGATATGGTTTAAGATGTGTATGTGTGGGAGAGAGGGGGGTGCAGGGGGTGTAGGCAGACAAGGCTACTGAGTGTCCACCTTAAATTGTCTACTTGATCACCAGCTGCTTCAATAAATATATATGGCATTAACAGCCTATTTATAGAGTCCCCAATGTCACTGCTGTCTGTAGTCACCAACCAAATTTTCATCTGAAAACAAACCAATCTCCCAAGAGTCCAGGAATTAATTAATCAAACAACATGCAATTATTACATTCCATCTTTGATAAATTAAGGAGCAAGTTTGAAAGCCACTGGGGATGTTGAATCATTGATTTCACTGTTGAAAACAGTGTCCATTTCTGCAGAACTGATGGGGGGATTGGTGGGTAAAAAGAGAACAACTCGGGTGGGCAGAGCAGGACTGTGCCAAGGATGCAAAATGACTATTTAAGAACTACTACAAGACCTGGGAAAAATGCACATGCCAAAAAAATGAGGGAGCTGATACAATTTAGTTTTTAATTGAAACAAAACATGGCCTTTTAGACAAATCTGCAACAGCTGAGAGCAGGTATTTGGCTGTGATTAAAACTCCAATAGGGCTTCATAAAAGCACACTTATTGCTACAACAAACATTGCAAAATGCTGTTTGATTTCCCCATCAAGCTTGCACAAGGAGTCGTGCTAATGCTATTTGATTTCCCATTTTTTTTATAGCAATAACCCTGCATTGATCTAATAGCTGGTCCTGTAAGTGAGTGCAATGCTATTAAAGGTGTTAAAAAGCCCATACACACAGTACATTTCCGAAACCACGTCTCATAACCAAAGAGACGATAAACATTGGGATGCCCTGATTGCCAACAGAAAACAGATGTCTCTGGTTTGGAAGCTGAGCAAATCACTTTACAGTTACAATCAAGGGCTGATAAAGCATAATAAATTCCATATGGCTCATTTAATACACAACAGCTTCTTGCATTAGAGGGGCTAATCTGACAAGTCTCCCTCCTATTGTTGACACATTTCTCCATTGTCAAACAGGGATGTGACAGCAAATCAGTATTTTCAGCTCCAGGGGGAAATTCGTGAGAAAGTTAAATAAGTTTTAAAGGGAAAAATAAAATCAAAGAAAGAGGAGGGGGGAAAAAAAGACTGATTTCAACATTAGATCATTCATTGCCAAATAGTAAATAAACGAGATGCATTGTTAAATCCTGAACTGGAAAGTATTTAATTCTTTTAATTAAGTTCTTTGCAAATATGGCCTATTACACAAAGGGTGAATACAATTTTAGTCATCTGGTAACTATTAAATGAATATAATAGGATCTATTTAAATCCCTTTACAAGACGAGGCTGTTGAAATGTATTATCTTTATATATTTTTTATATATACGAATGTGCTTGTCTTCTATTTATTATGTGATATATATATTTTTTTAAATATAATTTAAGTAGATTTTATTCTAGACATTTGTGCTTGTCTGTTTCGTTTTATTGATGCTGGTTTAAAACACCTGTTTAATACACTCAGAATTAGATTTCCCACCTGCATCACAATTGTAATTGTTTAAGAGTTAAGAATTTCGTTTGAAACCAGATTCATATTTAATTTCTGAAATATATATTAAATCGGCGATCGTTCATTTCCAATTCTAAAACATTATCTTAAATAGCAATTATTTAGCCAATATATCGTTGTTTTTTTTATTTTATTTTTAATTGCTTATTTAATGTATGTATATATAAAAAAAAAAAAAAACACCAATAACTAACCAGCCCTTAGTGTAGCATTTAATGTGTCACAGAGGAGATTCAATGAGGATAACGATAAAGATTTTATGAGCTCGTTAACAGGTGATTGCCATCCGGTTACACCAGTGAACCAACAATGTGCAGGCAAAGGCAGAGCAAGCGTAGTTAGAGCTTAGCCCTGAACACATGAAATAGTGCACTTTTCTCTTGATGTGTCGTATATAAGCTTTCTAATTGAAGTCACTGATTTGCAGCGTCCCGATATAATGTGTGCTGAGCATAGAGAATAGATTAAGTATTTTCCATTCTCCATCAAACAATGAATTCAATCACTTACAACGTATTATTCGAACAATTTAAATCATACCATAATAATATATTACTTTACATAGAATTAATAATTTTACCATTTATTGTGTAAAACATTATATAGAGACCATATTTTTACCTCTATATGTAGAACACTGCAAAGCACACACACTGCGAACATTGAAGTGAATCTGTGTGATTTCTTTTTTTTTTTTTTTTTCCTTCACTGCTCATCAGCCAAATAGCCAGCCACCCATCGCCCATTACTCTATAATCCATGCTGGTGACATCAGTAGAAGCATATCTAACCTTCTGTTTGGGCAATCACCTGCAGAACACTCCTGCACTCGTTAATCAAGATAGCAAGCTAGTCCTGATTCTTTAGAGAGATAAAGTATCATTAACCAAACACATCATTATATTATATTATAGTCCCTATTCCTGTAGGTAACCGTAATTCAGCAATCTAATAGTTATGAATACTGCAATTGAGAAAACAAAATTGCAACTTGATTTATAATGGGGTATAAAAAAAAAAAAAAGTATATATGTATGTATATATATATATATATATGTATGTATATATATATATATATATATATATATATATATATATATATATATATATATATATATAAAAATTCTATATAATGTGTGTGTGTGTGTGTGTGTCTATCTAACTAATAATTTTTATAGACACATGCATATGCACACGTGTATTTGAGGCCGCACTGTACGTTGTGGTCCAGGACAGAAGCAGACTAATTTTAGTAGAGGACACCGTTTAATGATCTAATAATTCTTCACTAAGGACATACAGATCTATTGAGCACATTTTGCTTTTTCAGCACCAGCACTGACAGACACACATTGATATTTTATTATCAGGCGTTAAAAATAATATAGCATGGCTGCACACAAAAATAGAAATAAATAAATATTTAAATAAAAATGTAAAAACCCAGTGATGATTGAAAAGAAAGTGTCTACATCTGCAACTGTTACTTGTGTTCAACACCAACGTGAACTATGTCACTTGGGTCCTGACCAGATACTATGAAATCCATGCAAGCTGGGGGCGGTATAAAGCTAGATCCCCCACAGTTGTTTTAGAAGTTGCCCCATTTTCACCGGCATGGTGTGGCTACCTCGGTAGCCCAATGATTCTGTACATGTATTATTATTAGTAGTAGTAGTAGTAAGCGGATGGAACCTCTGAATGCAGATCACGTGGTACACATGGTAACTTTGTTTTTCTTGGGCCTTGCAGGTGTGGTTCCAGAATCGCAGAGCCAAATGGAGGAAGAGAGAAAAGGCTGGAGCCCAGAGCCATGCCCCAGGCCTGCCTTTTCCTGGCCCACTGTCAGCCAGTCACCCTCTCAGTCCATACCTTGATACCAGCCCATTTCCTCCCCACCATCCTGCCTTGGATTCAGCCTGGACTGCAGCAGCAGCGGCTGCAGCTGCAGCCTTCCCAAGTCTACCTCCTCCACCAGGCTCCACTTCATTGCCCCCCGGTGGGACTCCATTAGGACTCAGCACCTTCCTGGGAGCAGCTGTGTTCCGACACCCAGCCTTCATCAGCCCTGCGTTTGGCAGGTAAAAATGCACTTCTGTAAAATCATTGGAACAGTAGAAAAACACTAAAGACAAACAATAGCCCGGCCAACTCGGGATCAGGAATTATAATATGATATTATGTCAGCCATGACTTATTTTGGGTTTTTATTTCTGTTACTGCTTTACATAGTTATCCATAGTCACGTGTTTCCCAGAAACATCTATGATGAGTCACCTGACATTCTACCTGCCCCCTTGCAGAGTCTCCAAATTACTGAACCAGGTGTCATGATGTAGTGTGGGCCACAATATGTGGTCACATAATGTTCATTCAGCAAATTTACAGCTTGTTTTATAAGCAGGAATAAATAGACAGTTTAGGCAGATAGATATACAAACACACAAGGAAGTTCAGACTGAAACTCCATTACAAAGTGCAACAGTTAAACATCTAGGGTTTCAGATTATTTCTTATAAAATAATTTGGTATGTGAGAATTCACAATGTGTCACACAGTTCATCATTAAAATAATCAATTACTTAATGGTAATTAGATAAAATGTTGTCAGAAAAAACACATTCAGTAATACATATTCCTCCCTGTCTTTCTATTTCGGGGCACATGAGAGCATTTAAATGCTCTGTCAAATGCACCTTTATAAAAACACAAAACATAAACAAAATAAAGATATGTATGCAGATTAAACTCTTTGTCTAACAGTTATTCTGGTACTCATAAGGATAACAGGAAGCTGGTCAGCCAGATGGGAAATAGTTACTCTTATGGTTTCTATATATTTTACTTATCTGATATTTTATTTATTTTTTGTCTGTTTTGCTAACACATATACTCCAATCTTACGTTTTAGCATATACGATCAGATAGAGGCCTATAGCCTTAGCTAAAGTTGTTGATTTGACACAATCCCTATAGCACCGACTGAAAATGGCCCTGTTGCAGTAGAAACTACATTTTTCATGATTTTTTTTTTTTGGATTTTGTTTTATTTAGCAAGGCTAAGGTTTGTCAGACCATATTGCGAAACATAATCAAAAAACATCTGGGGCTGCCAAAGTTAATCATTACTGTCCTACAGAGAGGGAGACAAAAACCCATGATTGACAGCAAACTTTGTGTATGACTGAGAATTAGGAGAGCTGCATTTTACAACAGCTGGCCAGTGGTTGCATATCATGGGGTGATAAACTCAGGTTAAATTCACCAAATACCTGCAGAACAAGTAACATCATATTCAGATCATAATTAGTTTGCTTACTGTCATTAATTAAAACTTCAGCAATATATATTTACCATGAACAGATTTTCACGTAATGGGTCCCCATCTATTCATGCATTAGTTAATGCGGCTAATGTGGAAATGTACCATAGATTGCTTACAATTAATTAGTCAGTAAAATACATTTAACATCTGGAGAGGTCACGTGGGTTGTTTTGTAAAGCATTTCTTGAGCACTTAGAATGTGATGTTCAATTTTATTTAGTGGTGTTTAAATTTCCAAATCCACTTTAAATATCAACATGACTTTGAGTGCCATGTAAAAGCAATATGGAATAGCTTATTATTGGGTGTGTGTGTGTGTGTGTGTGTGTGTGTGTGTGTGTGTGCCTGCATATTGTGTATACGTACAGTGTGAGTCTCTGTAAATGTGAGTGCAGATACATAGTATGCGATTATGTAAATTCAGTTTGTGTGTCTGTGCGTTAGTGTGAATAACAGCATGCTTTTAAATTGTTACTGTATATTAGTGTGTTTTTGTACTGGGGAACTAAGTGCATAAACACAACATTTAATATTGAATGTACTATATATTTTATAATTATAATATATAGTACATGCATACTATTCAGTACATAAATATAATATAAACTATATATTATAAGAAACATATTTGTGTGTGTATATAGCTACTGTGTGTATTGAATGTTACTTTGTGCACACACAGTGCATGAATAGATTTTTATAGTTTGTGTAGTTCATTTTTGTCAGTCAATGTGTTCAAAAGGCATTCTATATAAGGGGTGATTTACTAAATAGTGAATTGTGATATTTTGAAAACTGAATTAGCAAAATTTAGGTCAAAATGTTTGAGGATATAGATGAATTGAAGAATTTTACCAACCCTGTTATTTTGGTCACTCTTTTTTTGTAGATTAGACCACATGTAAATTCACCACATACAAGGTTATTTAAAAAAAAAAAAACTGTAGTGAATTTTAATCTAAATTAAAGACAAAACCGAGGCTGGAGATTGTTGTTTTTTTTTTTTTTTTTAGACCTGGAACTTTGCCCTAAACATTGCCATGTGGATTGCAATGCACTACAACTTAGAATTTAGTGAATAAACTCTTAAATCAATAATTGAGAAGTATCAAAGAGTTACAAATTGCAGGCCTGGATAGTCAACCTGAAAATGTACATGATTTTTAGAATTTGTAAACATTTGGCTAGTATGTTGGCCTGAATTTCCTCATCACTTTCCATAATTCCTATTTTAACAGTTACCAATATCAAAAATTCACCAGGAAATTAGCAAATTTCTGTAAAAAGAAAAGTGGAAAAAATTCCCAACTCAACTATGTTTCCAGGTTGGCAGTTTTGGTCCAAAAATTCCCTGCTATGTTCCCCCAATGACAGTTTCGTGAATTACCCTGACACATTGTACAAACATGGTATGTCAGATACTGTATATACGCAGCATAAAGATGGCAATCTGTGTGTATACAGTGTCAGTTTTATTGTGTGTGCGCGTGTAAAATGCCAAGGTGTCTGTTAGTGTGTTTACAAACAATGCCTAAATATATTGCGCTAATTAGATTGTGCAAATTTGGCATGAAACTACAGTGTGTCACTTGCTGTGTGCTAATACAGTGTGCTCAAAATAGTTTTCCCACATAATGTGTGTAAATACAAAGTGTTCATCACTGTGTGTAAATCTAGTAAAATTCATGTGCAACCAGGTGGAAAGAATGTGTACTATGTGCTATGTATACATACAGTGTGTCTGCTGCTGTGTAGATATAAATCTTTTGTGACGGTTATCATATGTATTTACAGTTGTGTTAACACAACGCATCAGTTACTCTTTGTCCATACAGTGTGTCTGTACTGCATTTACAGTGTGTAAGTTACGGTGTGTGTGTAAATACAGTATGTCAGTAACTGTGTGTACATTTTATGTTTACATACAGTATGTCAGTTACTGTGTACATAAAGTGTGTAAATGTAAGTTACTGTATGTATAAATATAGTATGTCAGTTACAGTGTACATGATGCGTGTGTATATACAGTATGCCAGTTACTGTGTGTACATAAATTGATTAAATGCAGGATCGTAGTAACTAGTTGTGTGTGTGTGTGTGTGTATAATATCTGTAACTCGGCATATGCAGAGTGTAAATATATTTTCAATTGCTGTGTGAACCTTTGGTATGTAAATACAGTGTGTCAATTACTATGTGTACATACCACTTATTTATCAAATAGTAGAGCTTTCTTAGAATGTTGTGTTCAGAAAATTACGAAAAGTAGGGTTACAGTGGAACTAAAAACTATATCCCACTGGTAACTCCATCCCTTTTACATATTTGCACCATTTTCCAAACTCAACACGTTGATATATCTACCCACTTGCTGTGTAGATGTCACATGTAAGTACAAATAGGTTTATTCAGTATAGCTGATTTGAAATTTTTTTAAAAAAAATTATCACTTTTTGCCTAACTTTTATAACAAGTTGCTAGTTAGTGAATGTATCCTAAAGTGTCAGTTACTGTGCGTACCTTCCTTGAGTAAATGAGTTACTGCATATATGTACCATGCCTAAAAGCATTGCATCAGTAGCTGTGTGCATACTATATGTAAGTACTGCATGTCACTATGTGTATGCTCCATTTTTAAATACAGTGTGTCTGCTCTGTATTTGAATACAGTAAGTCTCTTATTTCATGTTCCCAATGCGTCAGTGCTTCAGAAATGGTGTACAAATTATATATATATATATATATATATATATATATATATATATATATATATATATATATATATATGGTGTAAGTTGCTGTTTGTGTTGGTACAGTGTATATGACTGTGTGCATTGGTTGTTTTTTTTTTATCAGGTTGAAGATAAGTACTGTAGTCCTATTGCCTCCAGGTTAATGGTGTCATGGCTCAGTTTGTAGCACTGTATGCTAGCATCTCTCCACAGAGAGATTTCAAATATCACAGCAAGAAGGCTGCTGATCATAACGATGGCTAATGGAGACAATATAAATCCCTCTCTGTCTCTGAGGCCCGTCATTGGTATGTTGGTGGTTTTCAGGGGTAGGGAGCAGTAAAACACCCACAGGAAGGCATCATTAGTGTTGTGTTATTCAGCTAGAATGCTAGATTGCTGATGGAATGTTGACATTTAGCTCTTGATATATATAAATATATAGATTTCCACTAGAACTAGAATAGTACTGGGAAACTGTGTCTTCAATAGAAAAATGTCATATGAGCAAATGAGACCGAAATTAAAATGTTTAATTTTTTTAATTTACACTTTTTCAAATTTCAGAAAAATAGTTTTCATTAAACACATTAATAAACATTTTAGATAAAATAGTAATACGCACAGAGAACATACAAATACACAAAATAAATGTGTGTGTGTGTGTGTGTGTGTGTATATGTATATGTATATATATATATATATATATATATATGTGTGTGTGTGTGTGTGTATTTTTAAGCTTTTATTTGTATAATAGATATGGCTAATTTTTTCCATTTAGGCTGTTTTTACCTAACTAATAATAATAATAGTAGTTTTATATTATTTTAGATATAGTTCTGTAGAAGGTATAGATACCATAAATTAACTACAAATTATTTCATTTGCATAGCAACGTAAGAATGTATTTTAAGTACCCATTGTCTTCAAATTTACAATTACTTTTTACTGACGTGTTTGAGACAAGTAACACTCTTTCCTTTAAAGTGTATATGAGTGTCAAAAACAGATTCCTTTGATGTTTGTTAATTAAATATAAAGCTATCAATAATGTTTAAAGGAAAGTGAGTTGACAGAACCCTGTTTGTCAGTCGGTTTATCTAGCCACTACTTGAATTACTGATTAATATCGGAGTGTGAAAAAATATAACTTGAGTCAACCTTTAAACATGTCTAGAAAAAAATTAAAAAATTTAAAAAAAACAATAATAGGAGTCTTAGCCAAGAGTGTTTCTGGCTTATCCTGTCCTCTACACCATGGTTAATTGGGGACTAAGGGCCTTCCATTCATTTTTCTGTTACCCTCCGAGGGAAGAGATGCGTGTACTTCTGTGTCTCCCAATATATATATTTTGAATCATTTTAATGGGTTGCCTGCTGGCTGCCCAGTGCTGCCATTCACATTTTGTTTTTTTTTTTACAAGTGCCACTATAACCTGAACAATTAAGTTTGGCTCAGTTAGACGAGTTGTTGTTTGATAAACAACATATTTTCTTGTAATTTCAACGTGGCTTCATTTGAGGTCGAATGATTAATAGAACTGCTATGAACAGTTTTTGGCAGTTGTAATTTGCAGTGAAATGTCTACTAAGTTATATTTACCTAAGTTGACCATATCTGCCATTGTGTAAGTATGTTGCTAACATAAACTTTAGTGAACAATTCCATTGGCTTGGTTATTGATAAGTTTCTCATATAATTGTATCTTTATTTTCTGTGATATGTTGATAATAGTTATGCTGAAACTGTTAATAGAAATCTAATCATTAACGTAACAGTGATGTGCAACTCAATGGTTGAAAAATATTAAGATGAATTATGTTGCCTGGACTTGATCATGATGTCTGTTTGCTTGCAGACTTTTCTCCACCATGGCTCCCCTAACTAGTGCTTCCACTGCTGCTGCCCTCCTAAGACAACCCAATCCTGCTGTTGAAAGTGCAGTGCAGTCCAGTGGGTTAACAGACCCAGCAACAGCTGCAGCAGACAGACGTGCATCAAGCATAGCTGCTCTTAGGCTAAAAGCTAAGGAGCATGCAGCACAACTCACACAGCTCAACATTATCCCTGGGAACAACACAGGCAAAGAGGTATGCTGAACTAACAGGAGAAACTCAACCAGAAAATTACCAAGACCAAATGGAGAACGAAGACAAGCATATGTGGACCAGTGACTATTGGGCTCTGTGTGTCCTGCACGACACGTGAGGTCATGGGTATCTCACACGGGATGTCATGCATTACAGTAATAATGAGTGATATTTATGCAGCACCTGAGCAGTATGACCTCCGCACACCACTAACTGTAAATTCCTTATACTGCTCATTTTAAAGTGGTATCATAGTATGTTAAAATTGTGCATTGAAGAAAAAAATAACGCAAATAAAAGATTTTACTTTTGTGGTTATGCATTGGGGTTTTTACATATAGCTTTCACATAATGCTTAACCCCGTTTACTCCTTTTACCCAATAACCCACCTAATTTTTTTTAACCATTAAATTTGCTGCAACATTGGTTTTCACCCTAGTACTGTTTTAGCAGAAAGAGTTAAATTATTCTTAACACCATTTGTAAGTTAAATGATATAAATGGATGCAGAGGTACAGTTAGGTAAATAATAATAATGATGATGATGATAATATTATAGTCAGTGCACTTAAAAGATCTTTGTATCTTATCTCTTTCGTTATCTCTTGTATATTTTTTTTTCTTTCTTTCTTCATATGCCAACCAAGGTTTTTTTATACCAAACCAAAGGGAATGAACTGATTTATGGACTGTTTGAGTCACTAAACTGTGATTAATGATCTTGTAAATAACATTGTTATAAAAAAAAAAATTAAGGAAAAAAGAGCTTTGTATATTTGAAATGTTATAAAAAAAATTGCACTCAGTGTAGTGTTGTAAAAGTTTGTCAAACTGTAGAATTCTATCTGTGTTGTAGATACCACCAGGTTCCTAGCAAAATATTTATGTACAAACTCTTTATTTAACTTATTAACTGTAGAAATTTCTCAAACCTTCAAGACGATGCTACCGTATATGTGTAATGTTGTTCATTTGTCACCACTTTTCCTGGCTCTCCTTGGGAAGAGTGTCCCACTCAGAATAAAAAAAAAATCTATATGTTTAACAAAACAAAAGTGTAAAATTTTTCTAGCCTTTTTTTATTTTTTTTATTTTTGCAGTGCAGAAGAGGGTTACAAACAGTCATGAGGTACCCCAACGGCATTCCTCATGCATCTTATTATGCTGTACAGTTGGGATATTTGAGAATACATGCACATTTTTATATAATAGGTAGAGTGACAGAGGTTAAGGCATGAAGATTATAAAGTATGTCTGAGTAGAGGCGAGAATATGTTTGCTGGCAAATATCACCTTTCCGACATCCAAACCCCAAAAACTAAATCAGTAAATAATACAGAGCATATCATATGCTAAGTGTAGAAGCGCACGCAGGTTGTGGTATACCATGCTGCTATTAACTAGTCAGTGCCGCTGGGTGCTGATTGCTGAGTGTATTAAGCCTAGAAGAGTAACATATCTGCGAGATGCTAAGCCTACTGATCTGTGTCTTTTTCAAAGAGAGCTTTTTCTGAGATGGCCGTTTTCAAGAAAGGGTTGTTATAAGAAACTATAGGAAAACATAAGAGAACATGCTGGTATCAGAAAACATAGGAAAACATGTTGGTATTGGTAGCCTAAGATATTGAGCAAGATCACACAATTTAGACTGCAGGATATATTAGATTATGTGGACGAGTCTTCTAAAATATGAGACACGTAATTCTATATGAGTGCACGAGAGTGTGTCCATCGTGTGTGGGGATGAAGAAAGCTTAAACTGGAAAACATATCAGGCTATGGTAAACCTTGCTTTGCACTGTGGTCTGGAGCTCTAAGAAGTGTCCACAAGAAGCCTTTGGTGTAGTTGCCACGAGTAAATGTGTCCACATGTCTGAGTGAGATGCCCCTGAGTACGGTGAAGAGAACACTGGAGACACAGGACAGTATGTACATGATGGTCTCTGTCAACTGACTCCCTCTGCTGGGAAACAGCTGGAGCCTGCTGGTGTACCATCGAGGGTCACTGCTGCATGGGTGCATATGGGGATATCCCTCCAGCCCTGGGCTGGTGTAAAGGCCTGCATCTCGTTGCCACAAACTCGATGACTTCCAGAGTCCGAGTTTCCTTCATTTATGGGAGTGGCGGAGGGCCCAGTGGCCTTCCGTAGGTATGGGTGATGCTTCTTGGTCCGAGCCCGTGTGGCCTTCCGCCTGGGTGGGCTATGAAGAGCGAGGGCGGTTGGGTATACGGGTGTTACGCCAGAGGGTGACCCTTTCGTTCTCTGCTGCACGCAACCTTGCTCACCACTGTCTGGCGAGTCTTGTGGTTTGTTCCAGGGTGCCCGTTCATGCTCCCTGAGTCTCTCCCAGAAGCACAGAAATATTGCCTCCAAGCGTTGCATGGAGTCAGTGGTATCACCTTGTGTGGGCCTTTGGCTTGGAAGCAGGCTGTGAGTATTAATTGAGTCATCAGCCGCCATCTTGAGTGCATCATGGGAGGGCTTTGTCGCATCTGTGGTGTTCAAGGCTTAAAGCTCGGTCCGAGCGGGTTGCTCCAGACGCCCAGTGTAGACAGGGATAACCCCCACTGGTCCAAAAGGGGGTTAGGAGGCAGGAGATAGGGGAGCTGAGGGATCTCTGTACGAGTTCATTAGCGAGGAAAGCTGCCGCCTCTCCTCGGCTCGAATCTCGGTAGGCCTCAGGAGAGTATCTTGGGTTCCCGGGTGGTGAGAGAGGCGTGTAATGTAGCGATGAGTTCGCCCGGGTGTCCCCTTCTTGTTGGTAACCTTCCAGGATGTGGACGTGGCGCGTTTTTGGGGTTAATTCCCTCTAAACAGCGATTTATTCCAGAAGCTCTGTCTTGGCACGTCTGCTCAGCCTGGAAGCTAGGCTCCACCCCTTCAATAGTCTGCCTTAATGAAATTTTTTCCTTTTAACCTTTCACAGTTGAGTTAAATGTTCTGATCTTTCACCATCCCGAAGGATGACATTGTTAGTTTGCAATTAATCCGTGAGCACTATTGACACTCTATGACTCTGGCAGTGGCTGGACTCTGTGAATAGATGCCCCTGTATATTATCTTATTAATAGTGGTAAATATACTGTTTGGCTGATTGACATCTCCAATACAGAGTCCTGAAAGACTATTTACCTTATATTAAAAGTCAGAGAACCAGGCAATAAAATCAAGTAATACAGATGAAATTGTTATTTGCCGTTCACTTTGGTTTAGTAACTCATACTAAATAACATTCATAATTAATGTTTATTAATATGTCTGTTTTGTGTTTTTTTTTATTTATTTTTTTAAATTCTTTATTTTGTTGTGCATAAGGGTACAAATGGTACAAACAGGTTTGCTCCACCATGACAGCTGGAGCAAGCAATGATAATCGTAATCTTGGCATATCAAACAGCACGTTTTTTTTAAATTTTATTCTTTATTTGTGTTGTGCACATTTTAACAGACAAATTCGGTATGCCACGATAGCTATACCAAACATTTTTAAAGCATTTAAGGAACCACGGTAGCATGGCATGCATATGTATAGCACATTTTCTATTTTGTCGTTAAGGTGGCTAATTGTGTGTGGCAGGCTATGTGTAATGATAAGTTCAGAATCGGCCATCTATCTCCGGGCACAATTAAGTATCTCTGGTGTGTTGTGACCTGGGTCTAGCTAGGTTGCATAAGTGCTGTCTTTCACATTATAATATACATCTTGGCTAGTGTTTGTTCCGGAGTGGGTTAGTGGTCAACTGATGTCTGCCTCCAGCGCTAGTCAGATTAGTATTTTGTGTACACAGGTCTCAGGAGGAGGATGTATGCGGCTCAAGGTAGGCTATCGAGCTTTGTGTGAGCTGTTTGTGTGTGAGCTCTCATATGTGTATGCTAAGCGGGGTTGGAATTTATAAACGTGGAACGAAGATGTGTAAAAAGATAAACCGAGAAATTAGCATTGTTAACTGCTGCCCTAGGCAGTGTCTGAGGACTTGGTATTAAATAACTGTCCATCTCTATAGTGTCCTCAGGTAGTGGCCGCTGCATATCCTACCTTGTTCAGCCGTCGGCAAACAGCACGTTTTTATGTTTTAGTAAAGACAAGTTGGAACATCATACATACATAAGGTGGAGCTTCCTGTATACACGTTCAGAAGATATCTGCAATAATATAAATACAGAACACCAATAGTGCAATATTGCTATATTGGTGTTCTGTATTTATATTATTGCAGATATCTTCTGAACGTGTATACAGGAAGCTCCACCTTATGTATGTATGTTTTTCTATGTATCTTGTAGATGTGGTTTAGGGGATACCACTCAAGGTGTTTGAGCTTCACGTGAGATTTTGTTAAAATCCATATTGTGCACTTATGGATTAAAGTTAGGAACATCATGATACATTGCAAGACCTGCGTAGGAACAATGAGTTAGTACGGTTATGGCTGTGACTGAAAAGGTCTTAAACAAATTCACAATAATAAAAGTCTAGATCTGCAATGTGTAATTAGACAAATCTACGAGGCATCTCAGGTGGTGCACCTGACAGTGTAAATGAATGAGGCTGTGTGATGTAGGGAAAGAGAGTAGTGCGCTGTGCTCTGGAATGATGTGCGTAACACTCCCTCAAGCGCAACCTGGTTGCTTCATCTGTAAGAGTAAGTCAAATGCTGTTAGTCATCTGGTAGCGTCTCCCTACTTGGGTTGCAATGTGAGGGTTGTGGTGTAGTGCTGTAGCGTATGCCCTGTCTGTCTCCTAGTGAATGTGTGTGGGGCGTGTAGTAGGGCTCCGTCCCACCAGAGCGAAGTCGAGTGACAAACCCTTACCAATGTGGGTCATGGGGGGATGTAGTCAGGTAGTAGTTGTTAAACATTGTGAGTCGTTGTAGGTACTGAACTGCTCCCTTATACTAAGGAAGGCACAATACTTGGTTCTCCATTAACGTTTAAAAGTAAAATTCAACTAAGTAAGAAAAGAAACAGAATAAATGTTATATATCATATGGTGAGATCGAAATAGAAACTGTTAGGCTGATAACATCAGCGATACTCTGTAAGCCATATGGCTCCATGTGGTGTCTGCTCAGGTCACTGCTGTTTTTTTCCGGTCTCCTCTGGGGGTGAATGAGACAGTTCTCTCAGGATCCCATGTGTGATGTGTGGACATGGAGGGTGTCTCTTGGGCCCCTGTGTCTTGCGAGAGTCCCAACGCCTGCAGGAAAGTGGGGGCTTCCGCGAGAGAGATGAGTTTTAGGATAGTGTCATTCCGTACCACTGGTAAGGTTCTTGGCAGCAGCCGTCGGTAGTCCACCTTTGCGTTTTGAAGTTGGGCAGTTATAGGGCTTAGTGACTTTCGCCAGTGTAGTGTGGTGCGCTTTATGTCTTGAAAGAAAGTGAGTCTGGATGACTCAAAGTCCAGTGGGGTATTGTTCGTAACTGCATTTAGAAAGCACAATCTGTCTAGTATGGATTGACAGCGCACAATTACATCCCGCAGGGCTGCAGGCAGTGCTTGCTTAGCCTTATTAATTCTGAAGTGTCCATTGAATTCCAATTTCTTGGCCTGGGTGTGAGGAAACAGTGTAGCAGTTACCCTCCGTAGGTAGTGAGACCGTTCTGTTGGGTCTACAGAGTCCGGTATTCCCTGGATTTTGATGTTCATCCGTCGGTTTCAGTCTTCCATAGTATCCAGTCTGAGTTGGAACGCAGAGTCAGAGGCTTGTAGCTGGCGTAGGGTATCTCCCATTGTTTTCAGTTCTTGTCGAATATCAGTGATATCTTCCTCTGAGGTCTGGACTCTTTGGGACACAACCTGAACCTCCGTCCGAGCTAAGTTAATGTAGGAACGAACATTTGCTTCATCTCCCTAATAAGCTGCCTGATTTGTGGCAGGCGCTAGGTCTTCCTCCTCATCTTGTAGCTCTGGAGGTGGTTGAGGTTGATGGGAGCAGGTCCCTGCCCCTCTTAAGTCAGGTCAGGGCTGTGGGGACTGGATATCCCAGGTTTCTTTGGGGGCCCAGCCTGGGATTTGAGGGATTTCCTCACCATGTTGTGGTCAGTAAGCGGGGGCCTCTCGTGTGTCGATTGTATCTCGTGTGCAAGCTCCATGTACTGTACAGGCGTCGCGTCAGGATCTCCGCCGGTGAGAGCGTAATGTAGGCCCGGGTTTTACATCGGGTTCTCCTGCCCTTCTGTGTGTACAAAAAGGGAATCAGGTTTAGCCCGTGGTGCCGGGGTATTAAGGCACTCGTGTGTGTATGCCTGGGACCCACTGGAGCTGCGGATGGTAGCGGATTTTACACCTTTTCGCAGGATCAATGGAGGTTCGCGTCCATGCAGTTCAGCAGCTAGGCTTTGCCCCTTGGGCATTTATTTTTATATATTTTTTGGACAATTTTATATAGCCTTCTTAATGGGAAGGTGTGAAGGCAGGTAATACAATCATTATAATACTGTTTAAAAAAAATACTGCCTTATATAAATAGAATTTTTTTTAAATTGCATGATGCCACTTTTAAATTAATTAGATATAAAGATCCTGTCCTGGGACCTTCTAGAGCAGGATCCTATAGAACCAGGGGCGGACTGACCACTCGGGCAGATAGGTCTTGGACCGAGGGCCAGGGGCCAGGCCGCACAGCCATGCTCCAGCTGGAGAGATCAGAGATCTCTCCAACTCGAACTGCAAATTAAAAAAAAAAATATGTTGTGGGGCGCCTGATGGAGTGCAGGGCCCAGCAACCTATTACTCTGCACTTTACCCCCCACTTCCTTCTCTCAAAATGAGACCTTGCAGCGTTACCTGCTCTCTGCCAGGTCTCCTTGCTGTCCCGTGCGGCACTCTGTGTGATGAGGAGAGGCGGGGCTAGAAAGTTACATCATTTCCTGTACTCTCCTCACACACAGAGCCCTCACCATAGACATATGTCTATGGCCCTCACAGCCAGCAAGGGGAAGGAGCAGCAGCCTGCCACAGGAAGCAGGACAAACATAGGAAATTAAAAGGGGAATACTGGGAGAGATCACAGGGTCAGGACAAAGGTAGGAAATTAAAAGGGGAATACTAGGAGAGATCACAGGGAGCAGGACAAAGGTGGGAGAGATCACAGGGAGCAGGACAAAGGTAGGAAATTAAAAGGGGAATACTGAGAGATCACAGGGAGCAGGAGAGAGGTTGGAAAAAATTAAGGGGAAGATGGGGAGAAAAAGATTTATGAAAGCATTAGAAAAAAAGTGCCAAATATGAGTGCCATGGGAATAGGAGAACAATGTAAGGAATAGGACATGGAAGAGATGTAGGGAGGAATCTGAGGGAGAAAATCATGGTAAGAGGATTATACAGAGAGCATGATAAGTGTATGGAGACAGCAATGGAAAAGAGACAGATAGACAGGGACGTTTTAGCCGCGAGGCAAACAAGGCATTTGCCTTGGGCGGCATTTTTCAGGGGGCGACAAAAAAAGCCGCCCCCAAATGCCCAGGGCAAATGTCTTGGTTAGCCTCGCGGCTAACTGACATGCTGGGCGGGCGGCTGGCAAGGGAGCACTTCCCCTGAGTGCTCTGCTCAGCTCCCTCATGCGCCGCCCGCAGAGTGAGGCTGGGAGCCGGAATATGACATCATCAACCCGGCTCCCAGCCTCACTCTGCGGGCGGCGCGCGAGGGAGCTGAGCAGAGCACTCAGGGGGAGAGCTCCCTCGCCGCCCGCCCAGCGCCGCCCGCCCAGCAGCCACTGCACCCCAAGGAGAGGAAGAACCCCCCCCAGCATTCCCAAAGGTAAGGAGGCTGGGGGGGGGGGTTAAATAAAAAAAAAAAACACAAGTGAGTATGTTAGTGTGTGTGTCTGTTAGTGTGTGTGTGTGTGTGTCAGTGTGTGTGTATGTGTGTGTGTGTGTGTGTCTGTTAGTGTGTGTGTCTGTGTGTGTGTATGTCAGTGTGTGTATGTTAGTGTGTGTCTGTTAGTGTCTGTTTGCCTGTTAGTGTGTGTGTTTGCCTGTTAGTGAGTGTGTGTGTCTGTTAGTGAGTGTGTGTGTCAGTGAGTGTGTGTTTGCCTGTTAGTGTGTGTCTGTGAGTGTGTGTGTCTGTTAGCTAGTGAATGCGTATCTGTCAGTGAAAGTGTGTGTATTTAGAAGGCAGAGCAGGGGGGAAGGGTTGGGTGGCGGGGGGGTGGGGGTGGGGGTGCCTGAGTTTTGTCTTGCCTAGGGCAGCACAAAACCAGGATACACCACTGCAGATAGATGATTGAAAAGTATGGGGAAAGGAAATAGGGGCTGGTGGAAAGATATGGATTGAGGATTGCAGGACTAAGGGTGCTGGTAATGTGAAATATGTAATGATGGGGTTGTACAGAATATGGGCCAGTGTTTGTTAGTTTGTCTGTGTGTGAGTATTGAGTGTATTTATAGGTCAGAGTGTGTGTTTGTGGATATGTGAGTCAGTGATTGTGTCAGAATGACAGCATGTGAGTCAGTGATGGTGTGGATCAGTGATGGTTTGAGTCAGTGATGGCGTTAGTGTTGGCGTGGGTCAGTGATGGTGTGATTCAGTGATGGCATGGGTTAGTGATGGCGTGAATCAGTGATGGCGTCAGTATGGCAGTGTGTGTGTCAGTGATTGTGTCGGAAAGACAGTTTGTGGGTCAGTGATGGTTTGAGTCAGTGTTGGCGTGGGTCAGTGATGACATGGGTTAGGGATGGCGTGAGTCAGTGATGGCGTTAGTATGGCAGTGTGTGTGTCAGTGATTGTGTCGGAAAGACAGTGTGTGGGTCAGTGATGGTTTAGTCAGTGACTGTGTCAGAATGGCAATGTGTGAGTCAGAATAACAGTGTGTGGATAGGTGATTGTGTCAGTCGGTAATTGTGTCAGAATGACAGTGTGTGAGTCGTGATTGTGTCAGAATGACAGTGTGTGAGTCAGTGATTGTGCCAGAATGACAGTATGTAAGTCAGTGATTGTGTCAGATTGACGTGTGTGGGTGAGTGGTTATGAGAGTCAATGTGCATTTTTTTTCAAGCATTGTTTATAAATGCATAATACTCTCAAATTGTAAAGAGTAAACATCTGAATCACATTACTTTAAAAATACAGCCTTCTACACGCATGTTGTACATACAGACAGCGCACACACACACATTACATACATACAGGCAGCACACAACACACGCAGCCAGCACACACACTGTGACAAAGACTATACTCAGGGTAATTCGCTAAATTTTGAATTTTTGCTAAGTAAATCCAAATTGTAAAATTAGAAAAGTTAGAGAATATTTCTAGATCAACAATTTTGCCTATTTTTTGTCCATTCAGATCTAATTTGTGAAAATGAATTTAGCAAATATTCTGGTCAGTGTCCATGGCTCTGGGCAAGGGCCCCCAATCTTTGTAATTGATATTAGTTTGTTGTCAAGTAGGTTGTCATGACAGACCAGTATATTGGTCTACTACTTTAGTCCCTTGAACAAGTAGATTTAAAAAATAAAAAATAAATCCACACCCATGTATATGCAGTCACACACAAATGTTCACTACACAAATGCATTCACACTGACTATACAAATAGCACATGTAGTTATCCAGACATGCACAAGTCCATTCACGCAGACTCAAATACAAACATGCATTGATACACAGGTCTTCACACTGTACACATCCAAAATAATACTGTATTATTTGAGAGTTATAGTTAACATTTATTTAATGCACATATAATTAGCCTTCAATGGCCCTGGGATCTAATGGGATCTAGAACTATCAACGCTAAATAAACAAGGTGTTCTATACTTACAAAGGATCTTTAAAATGAGTGTTAAAGTAATTTGAAGGGATTCTAAAGTGAGTGTTAACTGCTAAAAGGTCAAACACATGTCTGCTGAATTTGAGGTTGAGAGTATTCCTAATACTTATAGAGACAAATTGCCCCTTACTTTGTTAGCTTCATAATAAATCAGGCACAATGGAATGCAAATTGTATTAAAGAATTTCGAGTAAGTTTAGAACTTACTGGCATTCTGAAACCTGCTACTCAATGTCAAAGGACTACTATAGGCACCCAGACCACTTCAGCTTAATGAAGTGGTCTGGGTGCCAAGTTCATCTAGGGTTAACCCTGCCTGCTGTAAACATAGCAGTTTCAAAGTTTAAGACTAGACATAAACGAAGCTGTAGTTAATCACTTTTGAAATCTAAGAAAGTTATTTAAATTTTAAAATCCTAATAGTCCTAACCTAAGTCCCATAACAAAACTTTTAGAAGACCCAGCTCATTTGAAAGTTGATTTCAGCTTTTGGGGATTTTTCACAATAGTCTAATCCATTAATGTTTATGGCATTTACCCACTGATGTCAAAATGTAATCCATAATTTTAACAGGATCAGCCACCAAAGTAGAAAAAAATGCAAAAGTGTAAAACCCGCCCCACATTGCACTTTTATAAGCTTTATTTCTAGAAAGTCTATTTTTTGTCCACTGCATTTATATTCCATTACATTTGTAGTTTAATATGTAGTTTAGTATGTTATTGTCTTCAAATTCTGCTGTCTAATTTAGTCACAAAAGCTGTCTCCCAAATTAACAAATCATCCAAAATAATTATACAAAGCTATTTTTTTCCAATATGAGTAGACAATATGACTCCGTTATAAAGTTCCCCAGTGCCTTATTTT